GCATGCGCGGGAAAGCGCGCGCTCTGTAACGAGTTTACCCGGACCGTTTGTGTGGCTCTCAGAGCCGGTTGTAAGCTGAGAAGAGAAGCAGGAGGCCTGTGAGTCTCCGTTTACTGCAATGAACAATTAAGTCATTAAAGAAGCTTTTGGTTCACACTATGCCTGTTGAACTGTCATTTGAATCCAAGGATTTAACACTTAGATTTATGAGTGATAGTTTCATAACTATGGGCTTTTTATTTCTTTTAATAAATGATCTGTCTTTCATAACAGGGCGCTTAAATATTGCTAACTTCTCAGAGATAATGGGAAGCCATCTGCTAAGACAGTGCCGATACTAAAATGGCATAGTAGATTTTTGTATTAAAATGAATAAATACAACCTCTATTTTGTTCCTGTTGTGACCCAATTTAGACAGAAGAGTAAGCTGAATACATAATACCTCACATGTAACAGTAACTAATTATCAGGAATCTTAGTAATTGTAAAAATGTAAATGTAATTTATAGTATATAATTAGTTCATGGCAGATGGGAACCTCTTGGTCATTGAAATACAGTAATTAATTTTCCCTAGTAGCCATGGACATGTAACACTGTTTTGTACAAGGACAAAAGTTAATGGTTTTCACCCTTAGACATGTCTTTAACATTCATTCACCTTATGAGCAGAAGGCTGGCTGGAACCTATGTGTTTTCTAGTTAAGATAAGAACAAGTTATATTTTCATTATGTTACCTGATGATGGAGGTATCATATGGCAAATAATTCTCCCCATCTACCCTCAATTGTTTATTATAGCCAATAATGCTAATTAAAATAAAACAATAAGCAATGGACTACTTGATGTTGTAGATTCCCCCCCCCCTCCGAGTCTGAGAACTGCAGGTGGCAGCAAAGCACAATTTTTAGCAAAACTTTTATTACAGTAAAAGGCATACTACAGTGAATGGCTAGATACTTGTGCTGAATCTCACAAATTACAATTTTTCATAGAAATATTTATGTTTCCTATAGAGCACATATTTCAAGAAATCTGTGATATTTGATTATATACATTTGT